GGTTCCAGAGCCGAGTTGCAGCAACTTTCTGGTCTGAGCAGATCTTTGGCTTAGATTGATCACTTCGGCAAATCTGTCTTGTTTTTGTGTGCAAACTCTGGTAATTGTGTGACTTACAACTGCTAAGGGAAGGAAGGAAGGAAGTTGCAAGGAAGTTGGGGTTTTCTCTGCGGCACTGGCCGTGAACGTCCCCAGCTCATTAAGGCAACATGATCTGACAGCTTGCAGTGAGGAAGCCAAATCTGATGGCTTTGAAGTTCTGCAGCATCACAGGACTTGCATTTTGCATGCAGCTCATTGCCGGGAAGGAGGCGGGGATGTCTTGAGAAAAGGAGCCTTTAATCTGTGCCAAGGCTTCAGCCCTAAGCCCCAGTGCAGAATGCCAGAAACCCTCAATCGAGCATGGGAATCCATCTCAAGAAGGAGTCCAGAGACAGAGAGCCTAGTGCATGTTCCCGATGCTCCGGATGCACGGCCCATGGACCCTGCTGATGGCCAAGCTTGCTGATAGGAAGCAGCTCCAACACAAACGGAAGGAAGGATTTCTCCCCAAAGGGTAGAGTTAAACTGTGGCAGTCACTCACTTGTGCTGTGGTGATAGCCATTGGTTGGTCAGCTCTCAAAGAGACTGGACATCCGTGGAGGAGAAGGCTAGGAATGCCTCCTAGACCGGATGGCTACAGATTACCTCCAGCATCAGGGACAGTGTACTGGGGACCGTGAGCAGGAAGGTGGTGGCACAGTGGGCTCCCCAAGGTCCACCTCACTTGCTACTGTGGAGAACAATGCATTTGTGGGAACCCCTGTTTCTAACAGTAGAAGTCAAAGAAGCCTGCAGTGGACTCAAGGTGTTTCAATTTCTACAAACACAGACATGGATGCTGCAACTTCTGCCCTCTTTTCCCCCTGCCTCACAGATTCTGCAGCCTCATGGCCTGGTGTTTTACCACCACTACCACCCCAATTTTATGCAATTTTGATTGTAGGAAAAAAATGGAATAAACAAAAAAGCAACCTGATTAAAAGGGCATTTCCTCCAGAGGCCAAAGTATGCAAGCCTGAATTTTGAGAGATTTGCATACCTTGGATATATTGCATATGTTGCATGTTCAAGAGTGCAAATTTGCACAGCTGCAAACATGCATGATTTATTTATTTATTTATTTATTACATGTATATCCCTCCTCCTTCTTCTTCTTTTAAGAATTCAAAGTGGCTTCCATCATTCCCCTCTTCCTGCTCTCAGTCTGATCCCCACAACAACACCCCTGTGAGGTAGGTTGGCCTGAGAGTCTGTGACTGGTCCAGAGTCACCCAGTGGGCTCCATGGCTGAGCAGGGACTAGAACCCAAATCATCTGAGTCCCAGACCTGTGTTCTTAACCACAACACCACACTGGCTCTCAGAATACACTGGTTCGCACAAAATCTGATTCCAGCAGTGGGCAGATGACAAAACAAAAGGTGCCTGAAAATGTGCAAAACATTGACAAAACAAATTCTACGGTATCAATATATCCTTCACTCCAGCTTAAATGGAATTTAGGAGAAGTGGAAGCCTCCCAATTGATTGTGAACAGATACAATATCCCCTTGCTTTGATGCATGGCATTGGACATTGTGCCCCTCCAAATATTTCAGACTACAGTTCCCATCAGCTCCTACTAGCCAGGCGGGTGGGGTGATTGTAATCCTAGTTCAAAGCATCTGGAGGGTGTCTCCAGTATAGAGTGTGTTTAGAAACAGAGAAACAGAGTGAGTCAGAAGGGGTCTCCTGGGCCATCTAGTCTGACCTCTGGCACCAGCCAGCTCATGACATGCCCACCATGTGGACGTTTCTATCTATTTAAAACATTTGTATACTACTCACCACCAAATGGTCTCGGGACGGTCTTACAGTAAAACTGTATCAGTAGATCAGTACTTCCCGTGATTTCAACAAATAGGCCATCATTTTTAAAATCAGAATGGAAGGCACACTTCACTTCTTCAGAAATAGATTAGCCTGCTCCTGCGGGCTGGATGCCAGTTTGTTCCCGGTAGGGATGACTGATTTTCCCAAATTCAGGGCTGAAAGGGATTGGAGTGACCTTGCTTCTGAGCTCATTCTGAACTGAGCCCAAAGTTCTGAACTTCCTAAATCCTCATTTGGGGTGAGATGCCAGAGGTAGTTTGTCTCAGGGGAAGTACGTGCATCCAGAATGCAAATGTTCGGAGAAGCATTTGCACAAAATTGCATGCCAGGAATATAAAGAGTCTTGGATTCTGTATGTTTAAGAAAGGTGTGCAAAAGCATACACTTTAATGCACATTATGAAAAATGTGCACCCAAAAATGCAGGGTTTGTTCTATTTTTTTTCAATCTGCATGATCTCAAGCTTGTGTAGAAACTGGAGGGAACAAGCTTGACCTCCAAAAACCAACTAGGTTCCACAAGACAGATCATCTACAGCTGGGGTGAAGAACTCTGGCAGTCCAAAAGTATCTGCAGATTGCAGTTCTCATTTCCTGCTGCAGTGCAGAAAAAAACTAAAAGATAACACAAGAGTTTAAAATAGCTATGAAACACCCAAAAGATCAACATTAGCTTGTTTTCAAGATGATTTTCATGATTTTGGTGCTCCATAGTAATTAAATAGCACTCCAAAAGTCCTTAAAAGGGGCACTCCAGATGTCATTTTGTTTTTGTTTTTTTCAAAAGAATTTGTTTAGACAAATGATGGGAGAACAGCTCCAAGATGTGCTGATGCTGGGAAGTCCAGCTCACCTGATCTTGATGGATTTCCTGCCCACTTGGTTCAGCAGACATCTGTCTCTAAGACAGACCACAGTTTGCATTAAAAAAATGCAAAGGAAATTTGTGCAACTCATACAAGAACCACGTGTTTTCAGGTGCCAATTTACACAAACAGTATGAATTTTTGCAAATTTCCCAAGCATTTCTTTTTTAAATAAACAGATCACAACCCTTTTTAGAGACAAAAGCCTATGAAATGAAACTGGATGGACTCTACCAGAAGTGCAAGGAACATACTATGTTCAACAGGTAGGGTCAGGAATTTTTCCAGTCTGCAAAAACCAAGATAGATTCTTGGAACCCTCCCAAAGCCTTACAAACTTCAGCTTGTTAAGAAGCGTACCAGAGGCACTTGCCTGGAAGCTGCTTTCTACAAATATATTCCTTAGAAAAGAGCTGCTTTTGGCTGTGAGAACTAAAACTGTTTTCTTTATTGAAGAAGCTAAACAGCCCCGCCCCCCAAATCTCCAGGGAAGAGGGTGAGGTTAGAAACAGTGTTTACTCATAGCCACTGAAACAGTGGAGAAGGAAGCATTACAAAATCCACAGGAAAGAGGTTCTATCTTTCATTTTTGGCCCTGGGGAAAGGAATTAATGCATCTCATTCCTGGGCAAATTTGGTGGCTCCCAGAGCATCCCCTGGTCTTTCTTAGAAACAGAGCAGAGCAAGTCAAAAGGGGCCTCCTGGAGCCCGACTCCAGCTGGCTCCACTCCTGACATGTCCATTTTGAAAATTGTGTCAGAAATGGGATTTGAACCCATGCCTCCATTCGAAATTTCAATCATTTACATCCTGCATCCATATTTCATCATCATCCTCAACAAACTATATCTCATCTTTGGCACAGCTGCTTTTGTTTTCTCCTAAGAACCATCAGTTCTGAAGTGAGTTGCCTTGGCTGGACCAGAGCAGTAGGTATTGATACACCTGGTCTACAGGTATTCGCATGGTGTAGCATCTTCCAAGCAGTGAGAGCAGACCTGTAAAAGCATCAGGCAAATGCATCGATGGTTAGGTCTCCCTAGGTAGAACCAAACACATTATAGTAGAATTAGATATGTCAGAAACAAATTGAGCACAGACATTGATTTTTTGCATAACAATACAGCCAGTGAAAAAATTATGATACAAAGCATATTGCAAAGCAAAAGACATAATGCAAAGTCTGGTGGGGGGCAGATTAACCCCCACCATATTCCAAGCACAACTTGGACTATTAGCCCAAATTTTTTGAAATGTGGATCTTTCTTAAGAATGGCGATCAGAGATACATCCAATGCCACCTTTGACCTGTCTGATGAATTTGTCTCTGAATTGTCTCTACAACCTTCTCCAACCTTGCATCCTGCAGGTGCCTGAGATTTTAGCTCTCATCAGCTGCAGTCAACATGGCCCATGGCTAGGAATGATGAAAGCTGTAGTCCCAAACATTTTGGGTGTAGCGGGAGAGGGAACAATATTCTGACATGCATTAGGGTTGTCTGAGAAATATGTCATCTTTAATTTGGATTTTCCCAGTTCACACCTTCCAAACTGAAGACAGATCCAAGAGCAAACTTTGGTAGTGATCCATATATTTCCAAATTCAGTGTGATTTCTGGATCCCAGAAAGGATCCTACACACACCTCTGGGGGAAAACGGCATAAAACAAAGGATCCCTTTCTGAAAAAATACAGACAAATATGCTTTAATCAATGGGGAAAGAATGGATGCATTTCCAAAAATGCAAACAATAGCTGTGTACATTTTGGAAAATACCCAGAAAAATATGCATGGATCTTCATGTAAAAATTAAAAAAACACACTGCCGAACTCACACATTGATATGGACTCAAGGCAGAATTAGGTTCCAGGTAGAATTTTAACTACTTTGGTGAGTTTGAGTTTTGCGGATTCATACATGCAAAAAAAGAGCATAATTGGGGAAATGCATATGGAAAGATGTAAGCATTTCTAAAGGGACAATTTAGGAAACAAACAAACAAACTGATTTGTTGCTGGGAAAGAACATAGTTGGGAAAATGAGAAACTTGTTGCAGCAGGCTAAGTCTGACCTTTTGAGCGCTGGGCAATGCTCCACTGGGAAAAAGGACCCCTGGACCTCTCAAGGTTATTCACCCCCTGTCTAAATGACAGTCTCTCATGAACTTTCAGCCAGTCCGCTTTCTCAATTCTCCGGAGCAGAAACATATGTAAGGTGTGGTACTGGGACTACCAAACAGCTCATTTGGGATTAACATCTTGCAGTGATTAATGTCTTGGCCTTTTTCCAGAGTGACGTTTCAGGTTTGCCGCATGCCTTTGAATTTGGGAAGTCTGGAGACCAGTTTCCCATCATCCCTGGCACACAGAGCTCTTGTGATGCAAGCAACACAACTCGAGAGAAAATCGTGGGATGTAAAGTGTGCGCAGTGCCTGGTTTAATCTGGTAGGAAATGTCCTAAGGCTGCTTCCCACTGGCATCTGGCGAAGAAATCAGATGTGGGGATATCCTGGGCTCCGCCACCCAGCTGCTCTTTCACCTACTCCCAACTTGTGGGTTCCAGGTCAGAATTATGGGATACGGGGGTTTTCTAGTGATTTATGATCAGCTTGAGGCTTGTTTATGGCTATCCATCCATATAGACAGTTTTACCTCCTCTTTGCTTTCAGGATTCAGACCAGAATCATGAGTGATTGATATGTATTAGTATTTTGTTATTAAGCCTTTATTGTCATTGGTGTTTATCTGTTTGTACTGGCAGTTTTTAGACCATCAAGCAAGCAAACCAGGTCTCTTCCCCCTAAAAGAATACAGTCTGAAACAGAATCATAGAATAGCAGAGTTGGAAGGGGCCATGAAGGTCATTGGGTCCACCCCCTCCCACCTCCGACTCAGGGGGCTGTCCTGGTGCTTTTGACTGTCTCTGGTGTGGGAGAGCCCCCACCTCTCCAGGCAGCTGGTCCCACTGTCCTATTGCTCTGTGATAATGGAACTGACGGATTTTCTGGGGGCAGGGAAGTTTCATCAATATGCAGCACAATAACTGGGGATAGGCAAATCCATCTAACGTGTTCCAAGCTGCTGCTGCATTTGTTGAATAATAATTTTGGCAAAACAATTTTACAAAGAAAAGAAAGAAATGGGGAAAAAACAGGCTTGTTTTCCGTATAGCAAGAGCATGTCTGTTATGATGAGCAAATCTGCAGAAACTTGTTCCAACTTAATTAAGGAGATTGACTTGAGTTGCTTCCTCCCGCCAAATGGGGAAGATGGCAAGTGCTTCGTACAAATGCAAACTCTGGGCCAAACTGAGGGGCAGGGAGGTCTACATTGTCCCCCTCTGTCTACCAACCACCCCTGCAGTGCTGACTCCGGGTTTTGAAGGGCCTGTGGCAAGGCAGCCTCGCTCAGTGAACCAGCCCTCTTGGTGCTGCCACCAGCGCTAATTGCTCTGATTCCCATCAAAGTCGTTGGCAGGCACAGAGCTGGTGTGCGAGCTGCCCAAGGTGTCTTGTACTGCCCCCCCCACCCCATTGCCATTGTCTGGGCTGGAGCAAGAGGCAAAGGAACCGTGAAACGGGGGGGGGGGGGGAAAAAAAAAGGGGCGGGTTTTTAATGGCTGCAGTGAAAATACATCGAGGGAGTCACAAGCCTGGCCCTGCTGCGTGGCCTCAGCTCACGGGAGCTGCCCAGTTATTGCTGCCCTGGGGAGGGGCAGCTCAGAGGGAAATGAGGAGGCCCAGGCCGCGGGGAGGGCGGCAGGGCCAGCGCCTTCGCACTCAGGCCACGCCTGTGGCTTGCGTCAGGCCCAGGGCCAGCTTGTGCACGGGCAGGGCTGGAGAGCCCCCAGCCCGGGTTCCGATCCAGCCTGCGTGGCCCTTGGTGAGGTGCTGGCCCATGACGACCTTGCGACACAGATGCTGCATGGTGCCCCTCCCTTCTTGCGAAGAGCGGGGATGAGCGGGGCCAGAGCCCGGATTTCCTAGGTCCAGTTCCTGCTCCAGCTGTTCTACTAGGTCTCCCATGCTTTTTCGGCACCTGGTTTGGCAGAGCTCTGCCGAAATCTCTTTTGGATGCACGGACCAAATCCTTACCATCATATAAGGTCCAAAGCACTTCATGTGCATTACTTCGGCATATCTTGCCAGGGACCATCGGAACTACTCCCTCTACACTGCAGAGCAGAGAGGCAGTTAATGTGTGACTCGCCAAGGGCCACTGGGTGTCTCAGTAGCAGAGGCCCAGGGCTGGTGCTCCTTCTGCAGTGGAGGTATGGACCTTCCCTCAGCCCGAGGGTTGAAGAAGCACTCGGGGGCTGCATCCCAGTGGTGGGCGGGGCTGAAGGCCGAAGGGGCGGAGTCCAAATGCCCGCCTAGTTTCACTTTGAGACTTGGAAGTCGTATTTCGGCCATCCAGAATGGGGCAACCGGGTTGCAAAACCACCAGATGATCAACACTTGCAGGAAAGGAAGTGGGACCTACCAGGGCTGGATCTGGCCCTTGGTTCTGAGGCCAGGTATATGGGCTGTTCCAAGACTGTTTTATTTATTTATTTGGTATTGTGGGGACAAAAACCTAAGGAAGCAAAAACAAACAGGTACAACAACCAGGTATAGGATGTCATTGACTATGCTCTCCTTTTTTTCTTATAAATATAAAAAGAGGCAGAGAGTTTTAGAAAAATCACTTAGCTCGGGAGTTCATTAAAGGTTTTTTTATTATTATTTCACGTGTGGCTGGTTTTTAATCAGCTTTAGGACAGCACCTCAAGGAGGTCTGCTTTGTGATACGTTCTGCCTCCTTTTTATGGCTCAGAGGGAAAGCTTGCAGTGAATGTCCTTCTATGGATTTTGACACGGCTACAGTCTATTTAATTAAAGCAGCAGCCAAACCTGCTGCCAAAACTTGGGGTCCAGATGAAATTCTGGGAGCTCTGCCTGCCTGGAAGAGGAACAGAGGGGCAGTGCTGAAAGGAATCCTTACTGGAGGATGTTGGAAGGCAGGATGGACCTCACAGCCTTGCAAGCAAGCTACTATCTCACATTATTTTGTAGAGCCTGCCTGGGTGGGGAAAAGCAGCGAGGCAAGAGCAAGAGAGCAACCTCGAAATGCCCTGAATTTGTGCTGCCACAATTTGTGAATGTATCCTTCCATGGCCAAAATATTTTTTAAAAGGAGCAACGCTCTTCTAAAATGAGAAATATTTCTGTGCCTGCTCGCCTGGAGAACCTTTTGAACTCACCCCTGGCGAGTAGGCAAATAGTTATTTCCAGTTTCCTGGAGCTATTGGGCGCAGCACAAGCATTAAAGGGGGAGCATAGCCAGGTCTGGTCTATCAAGGGACGGAAGAACAGGGAAAAGAGTCCTTTGTGGAAAGCTGGTGAAGGTCAAGATCCCCATGCAGAATGGGATGACTTTTAGCTTGGATCACTATTTCCAAGACGGTTCTGGATATTTTGCGCATGGTTCCCCTCAGATGAATGCATGCTGTTGAACACACTTTTTCGTTGTTCTTTGTGTGCACAAATCACGTTGCAGGCTTAGAAACGAAAGGATTTGAGCGCTGGCTGCATGACATTGCTGTGTCAGTCCAGGAGGTGCAAATTGGGTATACTTTGATGAGAAGCATAATTTCTGTATTTCTCAGTCGTCCTTTCCCCCATCTGTCCTCCCTAGACAGACAGATCTTCTGCAGAGGTACAAGGGTACATGTGTTGTGGAAATGTTAAAAGTTGGCCCTGCCTGCAGCCAATCAGCAAGTCTTCCCCTGGGAAGCAACGCAGGCTAGCATATCCCGTATGTGGAGCTGGGTGGGGAAGAGCAGCGAGGCGAGAGCAGGAGACCAGCCTCCAAATTTGTGCTGCCAAGAGATCACTTCTAAAGGGAGAAAAGATGCTGGAAATTTAGCTTTGCCTCACAGTGGTTGGGGTGGGCCTCACTGAGGCCTGGAAGCTTAATGTAGTTGCCTTGGATACCTGGCGCCGTTCTCTCTCTCTCCCGCTCTCTCGGTAGGATTTTCATGTTTGGCATGATAGCTGGGACTTTAGACAAGAAAATAAAAGAAACTATTGCTACACAGATAGCCCACAAGAAATGTTGTTTTTTCCCCATACTCCTTTTCACAAAAAAGGAAGCTTTTGTTCAGTGAAGATGCAATTTCTTTCCACGCAGAAAAGAGCATGGGATAGTGATTAGAGGTTTGGATTAGACTTCTGGAAATCTGGGCTCAAATCCCACTTCCCTCAACTATGTGAAATACTCTGGTTGATTTGGGCTGATCATCATAGGCTGTACCTTAACCTACCTCACAGGGTTGTTGTGGGCATAAAATAGGCATAGAGGTAGAACCTGAGCTCAAACGACTTGTGGGTGTTTCTGAGAGCACTCCCTACCCCTGGAAATCTCACTGTTTCCACATGAGGATTAGAATTAATGATACGGACTCTTGCATAAAATGTGCAGCCCAAGGCAAAAATTCCCTTGTCCACAGCGAAAGACACTTGTTGCCTACTGCCATTCAAACATATATTAAATAAAATATTAACTATATGCCTGCACATATTTAGTGTGTGTGAGAGACAGAATATCTATGATTTATATAATTGATATAATTTATACAATTAAATACAAATTAATATAATTAATTTTATATGATTTTGTATAATTAATCTCTAGATAAAAGCATGAAGAGCTCTTTAAAATATACCCCTTTTTAACTACTAGTCTTCAGCAGAGAGGGGCTTTAAAGCAACCTTTCCCAACACCTACAACTCCTAGCATCCCCGGGCATCATGGACATTGGGTCAGGGTGATGGGAACATTAGTCCAGCACATCTGGAGGGCACTGGCTTTGGGGGGTGGGTAGGGGCAGCTTGCTGAGAATCTGAATCCCTTACAGAAACTTTGCCCTTCTTATAATGGTAATAACATAGATTTGCATTCAGTCCTGGAAGAGTCCCTTGGGAATTTCTAACCTGAGAATACTTGTCCGTCTGTTTTCCCTTGCATTCCTGTTTTACTTCTTGGGGTACTTTGGGAGCTTGCAGGGGTGGACAGAGAAATAAAGCAAACAATTTTTCTTCAAAAAAGCAAGCTAGCAAGCAAGATTTGTCAGGTGGTCTCCTGCAGACAACCTCAACTCGCCCCAGGCAACTAAGCAAGCGGCAATTGATAAACCTGTGTGAAGTTGTTGCTGCTGTTTTAGGAGTGGGGTGGGTTGAGGTGGGGGTGTTATTTCTAGAAAAATCCAGCAGTAATTTACTGCTTTTTCCTTCGGGCAGGAAAGTGAACAGGTGTAGAGTGAGCACCTTATCTCCTCCTGGAAAGAAATAATTGGCTGGATTGTCCTCCTTCCATGGTTGCAAGGGAATATTGGAGTGCTGCACCATTTCTTCCCTGCCTGGGGCAGGGCAGCAGTGCGAATCCTGCTGAACTCTGCATGTCATTAGAGAGCTAGGCCATTTTTACTTCTCACTTTGCTCCCGATTGTCTGTCAAAAAGTTTGTGCTGTGTACATTGCAAACTTTCAAGGCCGGCTCTTTTGCCTGCAGACATTCTGAGCAG